CCTTTCGTCGTTGGAACGTTTCTCGATATCGGTTTCAGACATGGTTGTTTGTCGTGGCAGCAGACCAGTCCAAGTCCTGAACGTCTGGGAAGGGTTCAAACAAGGTGGAAATGGATGGGAACGCCTTAAGTAGGGCGGCGCTATAGTTCCCGTCTCCCTTCCCAATTCAATTACCCAATCAGAGACTAAATCTCCCATACCTTTTTTGAATGATGATCTATGTTCAGATGTTCGCTGAGAGATTGCTGGGAAAGACAAGTGAGAACCGGTTCTACGCGTATGTTTTCGATGCCGACAGGCGATTGGAAGCCAATGAACAATGGCTACTATCAGCGAGCTTTCGCAACTATATCTGAACTTCCAAATTTGACTGCAACAGGCTGGATGAGGACCACGCGATTTCACCAGAACATCTTTAAAGATGCATGAAGCGCGATTTTCATATGCCTTTCTTTTGACGATAACGTCTGAACGAAAAAGACGATTGTCTTGACGGTATCAATCCCACTACGAAAGATAGTAAAACAGATTAGAACAGCATTTGAAAAGGATCTCCAAACAAAGAATTTCTTGCATAGTCCAGCGGATATTATTGGCTTTCAGTCCCCATGATATGGAATATCTAGCAGCTTTCAGGCTACCAATCACCTAGCTCCGCTTCTGAAAGGAATGAACGAAGCAAAACATGGACTTCTTTCTTCACACCCTTTGAAACTTGTTCCTCGATAGAGCAGTGGTCATTTAAAGTTATTCGGAGTTTCCCAGTGCATGAATTGCTGGTATTCATGCCATCGATGAAAGATAGTATTACAGATACACACCAATTGCCTTTTCCACAGGAGCGTCCCTGGCCCTAAATCGTATGATTACCAGCCGGCATTCTGTGGACTCATAGGTGTCGGACTTGGTATAGTCTGGGGCATTACAGAACCGACACCGGGTGTCATGGGCGTTTTGGCTATAGAAAAGAAGTCAGCATTGAGGGACAGAAACGATACAATATCACGAAGGATCAGGAGTGGGAGGTGGATATAGGCTTACATCCTACACGCTCGTCCACGCCATATCCATCCGGTTTGCGCCATTCCACCTTTTCTACCTTGACATCTCCGTCAATGAACTGATATACATATGTCACAACCACTGTTCCTTGTATATCCATCAATGCAAAGCTTGGTATTGGATCGCCGTTAGGGCCTGTAGACTTGACTGCCTCGTTGGTCGAGACAGCAAATCCTGGCTTGGAACCATTCCAAGCACCTGTCCAAGCACCTGTTGCCGTCCCGGGGTTCAAGAAGAAGCGTCCGTCATACTCCGCTGCCTGAACGGCATGTGTCGCGCCAGAAACAAGGAAATCAACATCCATTTGACGCGCAATAGCAGAAAGAGAATCTAGCGACCCTAGAGGAAGTGATTGGTGGCCATGAATCAAGCCTATGCGCAGTGAATTGTTTGAGTGGGTTACTGTGAGAGACGAGGGAAGACCTGGTAGCTGGGATTGTGTGAGAGACATTTGGTGGTAACCACAGCTAACATACCTCGTCATAATCTCCTCTGACGACTTGTATTTCCGCGCCTCCTACTATTGACCGAAGGTAATCCATCGTCTCTCTGTCACAAACATTCCCGGTACAAAGAACTTGTGTAATCTTCCCAGGCGCTAGTAATTTCTTGAATTTGTGTGGGAGGTCATGGATTCGATGTGGAATGTGTAAGTCGCCTAGGACGAGGACAAGGACCATGGTTTACTGAGAAGCTTGGATGTGATCTCTGAGTCGGCCTGAGTCGGCTGACGGTATCGGCACCACACGTGGCTCTCCGACCGAGCTTTAAACTCTTTTCGTTATAATGAAGTAAACCAATCAATTTACTGTATGTACGACCTGGTTCACTTCGATTTGAGTCGGTGTAATAAGAGCTTTACCGAATGTTGCCTCATGATCCCCTTGCACTAATGCAAAAATCCTGGACTAGCAGACGCCTCTATCAGAAGAACGAGGCGTGAAATTTGCTCTCTACCGTGTCCTATCGGATATGGCGTCGAAGTCTTACGGGTATATGCGTCGGTAGTCGACACCTATTCCTCCGCTTCCTGTGGATGTATGCGCTCCCGGTGGTCGATATCCTCACTTCCGTTCGGACCAGTTTCACACTATAGTTACATAGTACAATTTCATTTAGACCCTCTAGTCTAATCCGAGTCCTCCTCGGTAGCAAAACTTGAAACTGTTGCAAACAATGCACTAGTATGCATCTCCTTACAGTCAAGCTAATCCCAGAGCGTTATTGACGACCTCCCTCCTTTTAACATAGAGGAAATGAGAGATCATGATATAGAGTTGGCCTTGCTTGATTATTGATTCACAGCGAAATCTCTGAGAGCCAGTGATTCGGAGGACGGTGAATTGAATAGAGATGAGAAGAATATAGGTAGCTATAGACCACAATCCTCTCCGATATAAGTGACTCGGAAGCGCGTACTAGTACGTCAGCTAAAGGTAGAGAAAATGCAGATTAGTAGATGATCTTAGAGAAAACCAGACATGCAAACCTTCTTCTCTTGATACTCGTAAATCTTGGATTTCGCACTACCTTTCTGAATTGTGCCATAGACCCCTTTGGCTTGACTTTCTCCAACTGTAGCTTTGCATCTCGACCAATACGTGCAATCTTGACTCTTAGCCCCATACAGGGTGAACATAAAGGCATCTCCATTGTACAGTTCGCCTGTACGCAAGGCCGCAAACGGGAATTTATTGAATTCGAGCTTGACTAGTTTCGCGACCTCTTTAGCGTAGTCTGGACTTTCCGGGTGTATGTTATTGGGGAGTTGGACACTGAGTGCATCCAGTGCAGCTGGGTTGAGTAAGAACTTGGTAACCTCTTCTCTGGCGTGCGTGTCGGTCAAAGGCACATACTCGAGCGGAGCCGTAGGGGTCAAGGGGGGTTTCTCTTTCGAGAAAGAGATGTAAAAAGTCACGGGTAGGCTTGGTTGGGTTGACTTTGAGAGCGAACTCGGCCACTAGTAAATGGACCAAAGTATGCCCGTGTCGGGCAACCCAGGATCAGATTGATCGAGCAAGCAAGCGACATAGATTCTGTACGCACCTTCAGAGGCAGAGGTAAAGCATTACATGCCATAACGACGATGTTGAAGGTCAAGAGGATAGCATAAACAACACGGAGAGACATCGGATGAAATCGAGAAAGATTGTTGCCTGAGCTTGTTCTGTAAACAGTGTTTGACCCTCATTTGAAGACTACTCACGAGTTGAATGAACTTATGTGTAAGACGACGTCCAGCTGGCAGCGAACGGTATGAAAAATAGAACAACGAACACAACGACTGAACCAGCAGCGTTATTTGACAAAAGACTTGAAGGAGAGAGAGAGAGAGAGAAGACAAGGATCAGACGAGTTTCATAACTCCCCCCTCTTGTATGAATTCTTAGAAAGGAGTTAAATATGACATATAGATACCTATTCCTACTTCAAGCTTCATCAGTGATACGCAGTCGGGGACTGTTGCAGATCCGTCGGTTATCCACCATTGACCGATATGAGGGCGTATAATTTCATCTGGTTCCTCTCGGGAGTCGGGACGCTCGGAAAGTCCAGTCAGCTCAAATCAGCTCAAATTTTAGATTAGAGGCGGGAAGAGAGGTCGTTAACCTCGATGGCCTCGGATTTCCAATCAAGCCACAGGTCGATTTCCGATGTAGTTCGGATAAGCTATTGAGATGGGGGGCCAAGATAGCGGATTTGAGGTTATGATGATCGATTCATCTGATATGGCAAGGGGAAAAAAAGTGTAGCCATGTGCAGCCCCCCGATCCAGTTGTGGCTGCACAATGTCCATGGAGGTGAGATACTTACCTGGAGGTACTTGTGCATTAAAGTTCAAACGCTTCCCGCAAATGTCGACTAGCGCCCATAATATCCCACGCATCGTTCCGAATCCTGCCGTGTTTTCTGCCTCCACTTTAGTTTCCAAGTTCGAACCGTCAACGTTGTCAACTCCAGTGCGAGTGTACACAAAATGAGCTCAATCACGTCTTTCTTCTCCTCATTCCTGCCAAGTATCCAAGCTGACGCTCCTGCTGAGGAGAAACCCGCCGAGGAAAACAACGCTCAGGAGTCCTCTGAGGATTCGGAGGATGCCCCCGCTGAAGAAGAGGAAGAGGAAGAGCCTGAGGATGTACGTTCGACCCTTCGTCTCAGCTTACTTCTTCGCATCTCATGGGTCCACCGTAGCCGCATCCTGCTATTCGCGAAGAGTGCAAAAGTTCGGCAAAATGTGCCCCTCTGGCACAACATTTTGAGCACTGTAATGAAAAGGTACAGGCTGGTGAAGGATTCAAAGGAGAGGACTGTGTAGAGGAAATGTACGTTCTTGCGACAACTGCTCTTCTGTCTTTCGTCTAATATCCCAATACAGGTGTACGTTCTCGTCTTTTGGTTATTTACGCCTTCTAACCTCAACTCATCATACGAAACTATCTTCACAATGAACACTACTTGATCCATTGAAAACACCGCTTGGATAATCACGTCGGATGTGTCTCTTCTTTGGTCCAACGCACTAGTCCAGTACGTCTCCTTTATTGCTGACACCAAGTCGCGGTGATCCTCAATTGTTCGATTCTTCCTGCAGCATGATGCATTGCGTGGAAGATTGTGCTGCCCCCAAGCTTTTCTCCAAGCTCAAGTAGGCATTGTTTAGGTGGGCAGGACTAGTGCACCATGTATTCGAAACGACGCGGTCGCCATCTTATATCGAATTTCTGGTGAAGGTGATTGAGCAGGAGTATATGATAGGAGGGTGTTAACGATCGGGAATGACCACCGTACACAATACCTACAATAGAATGTTTGCTCTACAAGAAAAACTCCGCAACTTCAGAAGCCATTGAAGTAATACTTATTACCAAGTCAAAGTGATACTCAAAAGTACAACCTGTGGTGTCCCAAATGGCAAAAAGAGAAATATCAAAAATTTATTCCAATGCGGGGAATCGAACCCCGGGCTGCTGTGCGTACATACACAATATGAAAGACAGCAATGTTAACCACTACACCACATTGGACTTAGTACAAATTACCTCTTTGAAGAACATATCGAGTTAGAGTTTAAACAGGTTCTCTACACAGCTGTACACCTGGCTGAGTCAATTCTGAACCTGAATCTCTAACCGTCTTGTTGTTTATCTGCTTCATATCGGGTGATCTTTACATGGCCCCAAGAGAGTATTCCCTTCGTTTGCAGAAAGGTATACACACCACACTATCCCACCTTGAACTAATCAGCTAAATTGATTTATCCAGGCATAACCGGTGGTTTTGCTCCTCCAACGCCTTCCTTCATCGCTACCATCACCCGACCCGTCGACTCTGACTCGCTCAACATCACCTCCGCTTCCAGACCCGATGGAACTCCTGAACTGCAGAGTTTTGCTCCAAAGACTCTTGCACACAGTGCCCAGTTGAACGGTGCATCGGCATCAGCAGATGCGCTGGTTGATGAACTCCATGGTATCTTGAAGGAACTTCCGACTGAGCAGCCTCCGGGATCCGAAGATATCTACGGATTGGATACAAGTATCTTCTGGGGAAGTGATGACTTGCAGTGGATGAATGGTGGAATGAATGGTGTTACTGGGCAACCAGGGTGTGTTTTGCTATCTTCATTCCTTATCATCTTCTCCGGGGCAATTACTCCTAGCTGGGATGTATCACGATAAGGCGATCGATTTCGACATCGCCTGGTACAGCTTGCTTGCCGACATATTCATACATCCGTCGTTAGCCCAACGATGCTCTTCAATGTTTTCCACAGTCGTTCGGGCCTTTGCTGCCCAATCGAGAGACGAGAAATGAATGCTAATTTGTCTCTACCATCCCCTCTCTAATAATGCACCGCATCCATAATGCACAGCTCAAGCTCTGTTCAACCCACAGCCGAGCAGAAAGTTCTATTCAAACGTGCGGTAGAGATTGTGGAGACCTTGGTCGGGGAAGCAAAGTGATTATGTATTACTGTAACATCCCGCTTGTGCTTTTTTGTTGTTGTTACGAATGTGCCGATTGTGAAGGGGTCAGTATCTTGGATGAGGCTATAGTGTACATGTATGATATATGCTATTTTTTTGTTTTCGACTCTTCGTGAAGTCGAACGACGAAGACGGTACTTTGTCAGACTGCGGCAGACAAAACTGCGCCACTTATTACATCATGCGTCCCGCTCCAATGAGTTCATGTACAGACCACAGTTTATAAAGTAAGCCGAGTTTCTTTCAGGTTTCTTCTCACCAACATCGTTAATATCCACAACTACCATGCTGTCTGCCTTACCAGCTATTCCGCCCTCTGCACATACCACGACCAGAAAGGCTTCGTCCTCTGCGATACCCCCTACAACTATCGTAACACAACAACCACCAGCCACACGATCCATGTCGTTGACGAGCGCAAATGAGCATAAGCAGAAGAATACTGAGGTGAGCAGACTGAGAGGAGGTTGTATACCTTGCCCAGTGAGTTGGTATGCTTTTTGATCTCTCGATCAAGTGACTTACGACGCAGGACGGTGGATGTTGTTTCATCATTCCCCTCCCGTGCTGTTGTTGAAGAAGAGAACTTCAGATGACTGAGACCATGAAAATTTGAGGACACTGATCTCGAGGAACCTCGTCACACCGCTGCCCCATTCCCCTCATCTCGTTAGTGAACCCTATTCACTTGACCACTGGTACCAATTATGATATCGAACGGACAAGGACACATATCTCTGTAAACTTAACTGCATTACACTGTATGATACGATCTTACCCAGGACACGTTTGAATAGCTCAGTTTCTGTACGCTGTTGTATGTAGCAAATATTCGCAGTAATCATGATTTTTCTCAGTATACTTAGTACTTAGTCCCAATTGTCCGTCCAAGTTCCATTCAAGACTTGGTTGTGCTACAAAATTTTGGCGATCTAATTTCTGTGGAATTCCGAATGGATCTATTTGCCTCCTGGATGCTCTGCGTTTTTGCGTATTACGCTATGCGTGAGTTCCCCCACTGGCGAGTCGCGACAGCAGTGCCGCCCACAGCCGTGAGTAAAATAGGGGTCCACGACTTCTGAGCGCCTTCATTTCATCAGATGGTTGTCAACTCTTGTACCCTGATCCCATTCACCGCTATTCACCGTCGTACCAGCACACACAGCCTCTTCCCTCATTTCCCAGCCCTTCTCATCCAAGTTGTCTCATCCTATGAGATATCCAATTTCGAAATCTAATAAACATTGCACTGCATTGAGCCACAGTGAATCTGCGTGGCTCATTCATTTCGAGTTTGCGCGTCGTTTAGGAGCGTTTAGGGCGCTATTGCCATGTACTCTGTGTTTCCAACTGGCAGCCGGACGCTTTTCGACGGCAAGGGGCATTGATTCGGCTGCAGGGATACATACAGACAACAAAACACGATGCAACGCGGCCCTATAAAGGTAGAAGACGTTGTCTGCCTTTGTCTTTTCCTCATTCCGACTCGTTCCTTTCACATCCTCCTATCCTTTCTCGACTCGGAGGACGTCTAGTCTTCGAACACCATGGTCTTCTTTTCATGGTCGAAGTGGCTCAAGCTACAGCTATTGGTGACCCTTGCTTCTACAGTAGACACCTACGGCGCGTCCATCAACAATGGTCGAGCAATGTCCGTACACGATCGTCGGGATGCTGTACCCAAAGGTTATTCCCCTATGCAGCTTGCAGACTACAACTCCATGATTCAATTCCGGATCAGTCTGAACATGGGGAACCGGTCAGGTCTTGAGGACGCGTTAAACAGGGCTAGCAATCCAGACAGTGAGAGCTATGGGCAGTGGCTATCTCAGGAGGATGTGAGTATGCTAAATTAGTCAACTGTCTCTCATCTTATTCCCTCCAATAGATTCAATACTACGCTGCACCCTCTCGAGAAGCCCTCCATTCCGTTCGCCAGTGGCTTTCGTCGTACAACATCGATTCCAAAGCGGTGACTGCCTCGGGAGACTGGATCAAATTCAGCGCCCCAGTGGGCACCGCGAACACGATGCTGAATGCGAACTACAAAGTATACGAACACACGGCAAGTGGGAAGCAGCTCACGCGGACGTTGGAATACAGCGTGCCAGATGATCTGCAAGAGCACATCAGAGCAATCCATCCGACTACTTCGTGAGTGTGCAAATCGTGTTTCGGAGAAATCGTTGTCTCTGAGATCAGAATTCAACGCTCGGCGCTGAGGGAGGCTGAGCGGTGATTGATAACGATCCATTCCCTCATCCACGTTCTTTTAGGTTCTTTCTTTGTTCCTTCATAACTGATTTTGTTATTTATATACAGATTCTATCACTCGGCTGGTGGTCGGGTCATCTCTCTCAGCGGTCATCACAAATCGGGCTCGTCTGGAACTTCCGGCGACTTGAAGAAAGCTTCATCGAGCTCTACATCGAGTGCAGCAGCTCCTTCTGCAACATTAGACTTCACGAACTGCAATAAGACTGTAACTCCAGCGTGTCTACAAAAGCTGTATGGAATTCCTTCAGCACAAGTGAATCCGTCAACGAATAGTACATTAGGAGGTGTGTGATAATACGCAGCTTATACTGGCCCCGGCAGGACACTGATCATGATATGGTGTACCGTGTGTAGTTTCTGCATTTGGAGGGCAAGATGCAAACAAGGTTCGTAGTACTCACGTACTGGAAAGCGTTTCTGTTTTGTTGAAATCAAAATTCACACAGGCCGATCTCGCAAGTTTCTTGAAGCTTTTCCGACCTGATATGCCCTCAAACACAACGTTCGCCACTCAACTCCTAGATGATGCCACGAACAGTCAGAATCGTTCTGATGCAGGTATCGAAGCAGTGAGTAATCTTCATTTTCACAAATATAGTATCATAACATCTGATCTCGGTACGCTCAACGTAGAACCTCGATATTCAGTACACGGTGGGCATCGCAAATGGTATCCCTACAACGTTTGTTGACATTGGTAACGACAATCACGATGGTGATGATGGTGGATTCCTTGATATCATCAACGACCTCCTGGCGGAACCGAACCCTCCTTTGGTTCTGACTACCAGTTACGGTGTTGCTGCAGATGAGAGTGGGTTGTCAAAGTCCTTGACTTTGTGAGATGAAACCTATCTCCGTACAAATATTTTCTTGCTGATTTCGTTATACAGCGCCATGTGCGATGCATTCATGAAACTCACTGCGCGTGGGGTTTCCATCCTCTATGCTACAGGAGATGGAGGTGTTGCCTCGTCTCCTGGGTCGGAATGTGACAACGAGCCATTTTTGGCTGCATGGCCGACTTGCCCATAGTAAGTCATATACCTTCTGTGTCAAATTGAAAATCTCAACTCTTCCACAGTGCGACTCTAGTGGGTGCTACCGCCGATTTTCCTGAGAAAGGAGCGGATCTCTCTGCTGGAGGTTTCTCCAACTACTTTGACCAACCGTCATGGCAACAGAAGGCTGTCGCGACTTACCTTGATGCTATCGGAGATGACCTCTATAAAGGTAGATTCAACCGTTCTGGACGTGGCTATCCAGACGTATCTGCGCAAGGAGAGAAGATTCAAATTATTCAATCTGGGGAACTCAATCCAGTTGGAGGAACGTCTGCATCTTCGCCTATCTTCGCTTCTGTTGTCGCACTCTTGAACGATGAACTGTTGTCAAAAGGGAAAGCACCTCTTGGTTTCATGAACCCATGGATCTACGCGCATCCCGAAGCCTTTTTTGATATCACGAACGGTTAGCATTTGTGGCAAATTCCCCTATAAATGATGCTGAATATGATCTCAATCTTCAGGAAGCAATCCAGGATGTGGTACAGATGGTTTTCCGGCTCTGGAAGGTTGGGATCCAGTCACTGGTGTAGGATCACCGAATTATCAGGCAATGAGAAAAGCCTTGGGATTGTCATGATTGATTGCTGCATTTCATGATCTGCCTTCACATTACGGACTCATCTGTATACACTATCACTACCAGCTATTCAAGGTTAACACGGACTATTCATATGTTTTGACGTGCGGGAGCGA